GGACACGCATGGTGATTAGTAAGGTCACACAGCACCGCAGCGGTCACAGGCTCTCACCGGACCTACTGGCACTGTTTTGCCATCATGCCATGATTAGTAAGGCCCCGTTTAGATGCCCCCAAAACCTAAAATTTTTTGCACAGCTCACAAATATATACTCGGCCTTCTCAACCCATCCTGAAATATCTCGCCTCTTCCCGAATCTTGCAGTTCTCGATCCGCGCGCATGCCGAAGTCTAAATGTGACAAAATCTTAGACTTAAAAAAAACTAATTGCTACAGTTAGGTGAGAAATCGCGAATGTTATAATGCAGCGGCATAGGTCCTCCTCCTGAAAACTTTCAATTTGCTAATTAGTCCATACCTTAATCACACATGCCCGTTAGGTGCTCCAATCTATAGAAATTATAAAATGCGAAAGTCTATGATAATCGCAGTTGACTCAAATTTTTTTTTTGAACAATGGCCAAAATCAATTTTTTTTTTTGATCTAAACGGGACCTAAGTTGGGTCCAACATGTATGGCCGGCTGGCCGTTGTGGCTGCATCTGCATGCGTGAATGGAGTTTTGGGCATTGTTGTGGTTTAGTAGTGCTTGGCTTCGCCTTCAAGCTTCTCCTTGCTTAGACCAACAAGGTTTACATGCTGTTACTATATACTCCCTCCGTCTCATAAAACATGTAAATCTCACTTTTCAAGACAAGTTTAGTGGAAGTATGAAATTACACACGTGTCTTTTCTACACACTTCTTCTTATGTGCTAGAACTCAAGAGCAATCTAGAATGTTACTTCAAAGCACAACAGGAGATGGGTTGGTTTTCTAAAGGTACATTATTTTTTATTGGTGAGGTCCATCTGAAAAGGTAACATGAACTCTAGGATTATATGAATTTTAAGACAAGATTTGAATCTCAGGATTATATGTTTTGCGGGAGGAAGGGAGTATAAGCATCCGAATTCCGATGTCCACCTCCTCCGACCCTAGTACGTTCCAGAATCCAGGCTGGTTCCGTACGGAGGTGTAAGGGGGGAAAAGAGCAAAGCGACACCGAAAGCTAACGGCCGGGACCGGGAAGAACAAACCTGAGATGCACGTACCAAACAAACTGCAACCTCTAGCTAGCATCAGCACGAACCCCTCACACCTGTTCTATCAGTCCGGCTTTTTTCGTCTTTTCCGTTTTAACAACTCGGATCGGATGGCGTACAAGAGAACGGCAACGGACGTACGGCGAGTCGGCGACATAACAGACCACGGGACCTGCCTGCTCGCCTTTCTTTTTGTTCGCTTTCTTTGACAGGGACACTGGCGATATATATAGTAAGCCATTATATTATACGTGACAAATTAAACTACCTTTCCACGCGGCAGCATCTTTGTCGCTATACTACTTGCAGTTTCCGCAGAAGCTCAGTCTTGACAGCGGCATACATAGATACAGGAACGTGAGAGAGATCGAGTAACAACAACTTCTTCCTCAGGTCGTTCTCGAAGCTTTTTACCAGTAAGCTTTAGCTTCAGGCGCAAGCATGTCTGCATACTCGTGCGTTCAACGGCTGCTCGATCGGTTGTTTGTTGGACCAGTACGTTGCTCTGGTTCCGCAGGAAAACCAGACCGCCATCTGCGACTGCTGCAACGGCAAGCAGCTGGTAGCCACGCAGGGCATATGCGACTGCTGCAACGGCAAGCAGCTGGTAGCCACGCAGGGCATATGTATCAGCATATGCCACGGTTGCATAACGCTTGGCCTGCGCGCATGTGGCAGCTGGTGGTGGCGGCGACCGCGCGGCCCTGCTGGTACGTACGTGTTGAGTCGTGCCGCCGTGCGTACTGGGGCGCGGCAGCCCGGCGAAATCGTTGTCGCCGGGACGACGACGACACCTGCTGGCTCTGGGTGCAACGGGACGGGACACGTACGTGGTCGTGCTCAACTTTTCGTCTTCTTTCGACGTACGAAACGTGTGATGGATTGTGTCCAGGAAATGCGTGCGGCTCGCGACTTGACCGCATCCCTTCTGGAAATAAAACACGGATCGGCAGTACTGGCTGCGCTGCGTGCGTGGAAATGCAAGGACAGCGTGCGTCATCCGGCGGGCGGATTCAGAAGCATCCACAGGAGCAATCGCATTCGCCAGCTCCTGAAAAGTCTTGTGCAATTGAGCGTCCTGTTTGTTTTCTCGAAGACCAGAAGCTTGAGCTTCATAAGTTATACTCGTGCGTTCAACGAAACCAGTACGTTGCTCTGGTTCCGCAGGAAAACCAATTTCCGACTGTAACGAAAAAATACTATGCCACGGTTGCATAACGCTTGGCCTGCGCGCTTGTGGCAGCTGGTGGTGGCGGCGACCGCGCGGCGCTGCTGGTACGTCAGTCGACTGCGTATAAGATAAATACAATCACGACACCTGCTGCTGGGTGCAGACGGGACACGTACTCTCTCAACTTTACTCTTTTCGACGTACATCTACGTGCGCGCCGGTTCGCCCGTGACGCTCTGTGTCATTGGCGCCGTGCCCACCCACGTACCGACACACAGCCCGCCGGCCATCATGCGTTGTGCTCGGTGGAGCGGCCCATGTTCACTCGAACCGGGCCTATTGGGAGTTACGAATGGAGTGGCCCAGTATGTCCCTCCGAAGCCCAAAAGCAATGGATGGCTCTCTCCGGCAGTCGGCCACACAAGTCCAGAGTTAGTCGTATAAGTATTTTTCTCGTCGATGCCACCGTACCTATACGTTCAGCGTACGGTCCGCATCATCGGGCGTACTGTACTTGTTGCAAGAAAACAGGTGCTAGAAATGGCCATCACCTAAAGTGGTCAAAAATAAAGTAAACACGGTTGTATATGCGACTACTTTTTTATATGCCGACTCGATCGTGCTCGTGCGTGCGTGGCTCTAATTATCCCCGATCCCGTCCAATGTTTCCAGTCTTTTCGCTGTCGCCTTTTGGTTTGCCTTTTCTGCATGCATGCATTTCTGTTCTGCAACCTACCTATGTTCGAGTTCCACACCTCACTCGTCACTGTTGACGTCAACATTCCTGTGCTTCATTTGCCTTGCTGCTGGTCTGGTCAAGCAACGGGAAAAATCTGCAGCTATATATATATATATGGTTTACGTGCTGGCCCTCTCTAGTGTTTAGATCCGGTGACTAAAATTTAGGAGATACCATGTGAGGGTGTCGTATAGGGTGTTCGGATACTAATAAAAAAACAAATTACAGAATCCGTCAGTACTCCACGAGAGAAAATTTATTAAGCCTAATTAATCGTCATTAGCATATGTTTACTGTAGCACTACATTGTCAAATCTTTATCTAATTAGGCTTAAAATATTCGTCTCGTAAATTAGTCGTAAGCTATACAATTAGTTTCGTAATTAATCTATATTTAATACTCTATACATGTGTCAAACATCCGATAGACACGAGGAGAAACCAAAACCCCCTGGCCCAACAGAGACTGCCACAAGGACGTACGACGTTTTTCCAAACCTCTGCATCATCACTCATCAGTCTGATGCTGATCGAAAAAACGGTCACTGTGCTGTCCTCGTTTGCACTGACCAGCAGTAACAGGCTAGGCAGCTAGCTCAGGTACAAATAAAACTCGGATAATCAAGAATATATAGCTAGCTAGCTCCGATCCACACCTTCTCGGTCTGGTAGTGGTCACAACCATATAATTAACGTGCCTGCGTGTGTTCCTGATCTTCTTGTTGGAGCTGGCCAACTGTACGCAGCTACTTGCGATCAGTGTGCTATCGTCTAAATGGGGCACAGTACAGTCCCCCTACATGATAATTAACTTGCCTTTTTCTTTTGGCCACCACAAGCAACCGATTTGGCCTGGCTGAAAAACCCCAGTATCTAGAGTCAAGTGCAAAACACAACCAACCAATCTATGGGTTGATTGCTATCTCCACGATTCCAGCTGGTGGTTATTAGCATGCATGTTCTTGAATTGCATCCGTGGTGCATGCCATGTTCGTTCTCAGCGGGTCAACACGCATGCATGTGTACGTTCTGACCGTTTCCCGTGTCATTGTGTGATTCATGTTCTCTGTCGTCGGTACACTCCTACCACGTTCCTCCGTCCGATTCGTACGTCTTCCCTTCTCTGTCGCTGGATCTTCCGGCAAACGTGCATCCATCGCCGTCGTCCGGCCCCGGCTAACTCCCCATCCCCATCGGGTAGATATTGTTTTGCCTCCTCCGATTTGTTACAGGTCGTGTGGTGAAGCGTGTCGTACAATATAAGCTGGCTGTTTTTTCAGTCCATATGTTCAACAGATGCCACTACCATTGCAAGTGCAGCATTTGAAGCTGCTGCACTGAGAGCATGCCATTGAATAATGGAACAGCGCGGTAGCATTATATACATAGGAGCTACAAATAAATTCGCATATATTATATAATCGAGAATCAAAGATCGTACAGATCAACATTCGATTTTTTTTAAAAATTTGTTGCAGTGCTAATGCTATACATTTTTGTTTTGTCCATGTGGATACAGAAACATTAAATGTTCGACGATCGAGGTGGTGGGCATTTCCGATCCTCTTGTAACAGAAGAATAATAAATTCGCAGAAGAAAAATAAGAAATAAAAGGGTGCGGCACATATATACAACATGCATCCCAGAAATATACGCATATATCTCCTGAATTCGGCCCAAAATCTACAAAAGTTGCTTTTCCTAATACAACACCTAGTTACATCACATAAAAACTGTACATTGATTTTTGCACGGCTTGCTTGTTTAAAGAGCAACCGTATATACATATATATAGTAGTACACTGGTACTGTACATATACGATATACACATGACCTTTTCATTCCTCATCATCTTCTCAGTGCTACAGAAGGAACAGAAAAGGAAGAGAGTATGTAGGAGAATGAAGGAAGGTGGGGGGGGCTCTCTATTTCATCTTACAAGTCTTATCCATGGATAATGGACGATCTTGGTCACAATTCAGTGTAGTTCGAATTCCCCTCACTGCTGCGGCTTCAGCACTGCAAAACACCGCAAGAATCCAACAAAATATCGTGTTAGATGTCGCTCCAAATGCGCCGGCCTAAAACACGCTCTATCTCTCTGAAACCACCAGACAAAAAAAGACACTCATTTCTCAATCACCTTGCATATGTACCCAAATTGATGTTCAAAAATATGTATCCAAATTCAGAGAACTTAATAAGTAATCAGTACTTGATAATAGATCAGAAAATTAAACAAATTACAGAATACAGAAGCGCGCAGTTGGAGGGGGGGGGGGAAGAAGAGTACTTACAAGGGTTCTTGGGGGCCTGGAGAGTCCTCAACAGGAGCTGCATCGCATCGACCTGAGCTTTGAGAGACACGGCGTAGTCTAGGGTTTCACCCAGCAGCGTGCACTCGTCCACCATCCCTCTCCCTCCGGGCACCATCTCCCTCAGCACCCTGGCCCGCCTCCTCGCCATGACCCTCGCGACAGCGCCTGCCGCTCTGGCCGTGGCGCTGCTCTTGGGCCTCGCCCGGAGCCGCCTCCTCGAGATCATCTTCTTGCAGCCGGCCATCACCATCTTGCACGGCGGCGACGACTTGCATTGACCCGAAGGCCGTGCACTTGTGGCAGGAACGTCGACAAGGTGGTGTGCGTCGTCGGTCCAGCTGGTGGGCCGGCGGCGGCCGTGTTGGGACGACGAGAGCTCCGCCACCAAGGCCCGGCTCCAGCGCGGCGTGGCGCCCCTTGCGGAGGCGAGGGCGGCGTCGGCGGCATGCCTGACGGCGTCCCTTCTCTCGTGGAGGCTCATGCCCCTCGACGACGACGCAGCACCGCCCTTCCTGAGCCCTAGTAGCAGGTTCTTGAGGATCGCATGCCTGAACTTCTTGGACCCTGCACTCATGCCGCCTACTAGGCTGCTGCTGCACGGTGGTGAACAAGACATGGAACGGAAGCTGCAATTGCAAGCACGACACCGGGTGGGCTTCTTGGCCACCGTACGAATGGAACAAGAATTTAATACAACAGCTCGGAATCCGGGTGCTAATTTGCCGGATAATCACATATATACCACCTAGTAATGATGGTGCTTTAATAATTGTGGATCGATCGAAGGGGAGATATTTGTTTGTGAGCTGAGCTGAGAGAGAAATTAGGGAAGCAAAAAGAAAGAAAGAAGAAAAGAGATGATGCAAGGTTGTTAGCAAGATCATCACATACATGAGTGGTGTTGGTGTGTGTGTGGCAATGCGAGGATCGGAGCCTAGCTATATATGGCGTTCATTGGCTGGAAAGGGGAGGAGGGCGGTGGCCCTAAACCGCTAAACGGCGAGGAGACAGTGCACATGCAGGCACATGGGAGAGGTCAAGGCCCAGGTCCACAATGCCATGGCATGCATCTGCTTGCAATTTGCTTGAATCAGTTATTCTATAGATGCTACAAAAAAATTATTCTATAGCCACTTTGATTTACGATAATTACTATGTTAATTTACGATATTATAGTAACTCTTTACTAAGTAGTTTACTATAACGTTATGGTAAATATCCCCATGTGTTATAGTAACTCAACTATCGTAAATATGTATTGACATTATCGTAAATTAATATATAAAATTATCGTAAATGGAGATGACTACATAATAACTTATTTTGTAGCTGGCTACTGAATATAATATATATATATATATATATATATATATATATACACACACACGATGCGTACTAGGCTACTAGCAAGTACCAAGTACTTGACGACATGCATGTAATGTCCCCCAAAAAAAGATTAAAGAGAGGCCCCATCGCCCACATGCATGTTATGTGTGAGCAGCTCACTATCTAGCCTTACGTGAACAGTATGCTGTACCTGAAAGTAGACAGGAGCATAGTCATTTGTGTTTTGGGGACACTGCTTGTTGCATGATCTATCTGATCGATATGGATGCTGTTGTGTGCGTACATTTGAGTTTCAGTATGTGCTAGTTTCACTTCGTCCCCTTAATCAGTTCATGAACATAAGAAATACTATAGAGGAGTATTTCATTTGGTCCGATCTTTAATTCTTTATTAAACATAGACTTGTCCAACGATGTTTCTTATATATAGGTCACATGCATGCACGTTGTTATAACAACCTTGATACATGAATGAACTAAGCAGGCCCTTTAGCTTTACTAGTACTAGTAGGGATCGATGACATCTCTTCTAAAGATTAGAAAGGGGTTAGTTGGGCAAAATCAAATTGATATGGTGATGAGGCTGTGTATTAGTAGGCCTATAGGTCATACTCATAGCCCTTAATTAGCGGGACAGGTAGCTTATCCCCCCATATTATGAGTGCCTTCGGTGGTGGCATGGATGTGACTCCTCCATGCACAAATTGCTCATGTGTACGCTACTAGTTATCCTTTATTTGTCATTTCTTATGAATGAACACAGTTTATTATTCATTCACATGCATTCCTTGCTTTCTCCTATCCGCGTCTCTCTTACGCAAAGCAACTGCAGCATGCAGAGAACCGGTAGTAGTAGGCAGTAGCTAGACAAAAACAAACCAAACATGCGAAAGCGCTGTTGATCGAGAATTCGAGATCATCTTTTTTTTTTTTTTTGTTAAGTCAATTTACACCCTCAACTTGCAGCAAAGTTCGGAGCAATCTTGAACTTCAAAACCGGACAACTTTGGCCTTTCTCGAAAAAAAACTTTCAACCCTTTGGGCGGTTTTGCGGGTGAACAGTAACTTTTGATATTTTCAAAAAATCGAGAAATTTTATATTATTTTTTTCGAGCATCTTAACGTCCTCAAATGAAAAAACTCAAAACTACAAAGTTGTAGATCTCATCGAGGTTTTACAAATTTACATATAAAAATTATCTTCATCCGACATCGTCGTATTGAAGGGTTTTCTATTTTTGAAATTTGAGTCTCATCACGTGATAAAATATGGTGACGAAATTTTATATTATTTTTTTCGAGCATCTTACTGTCCTCACATGAAAAAACTCAAAACTACAAAGTTTAGATCTCATCGAGGTCTACAATTTACATATAAAAATTATCTTCATCCATTCGTATTGAAGGGTTTTCTTTTTTTCTCATCCGCGCGAAACAATTTTGTCGCGTGATGAATCTGCAGCATGCAGAGAACTTTTATTTGTAAGATGCTCAGGCAGCTAATTTCAGCGCAAAAAAAAACCAAATTACCATGCGAAAGCGCTGTTGAACTTTTTCGAGAGTTGAAGACCAAGATCATCTTTTTTTTTTTGAAGAAGAAGAAGAAGAATTCGTGATCATCGAGACATCGGCCACAATAGCTATAGCCACGCAGTGCTTTGCTTCACTTCTGATTGCTGAATATCGACATCACCTGGAAAAAGCAGTAGCCGATGCAAACTTTAATTCTAAAGAAAAATGACCAAATTGTTTTTTTTTTCAAAAAATAAAGAAAGGAGCAATCAAATAAACTAAAGGCATTATGCGATGGAGAGAGATGGATCAGTGGATCACTTTTGAGTTTTGAGCCTAGCGCAAGCGCACGCTCACAAGCCAGCAGTGCACAGTCACTGTGCACAGTACACGCTCGGGTCCGGTGCCGGGCCGGGGCACGTACTGAAACTGAAAGCAGCAGCGAGAAGCCGATGCCATTTACGCGGACGGGTAGGCAGCCACCAACCACCATCCCGGGCGGGCGGGCGGGCGGGCACGCACGCACGTCGCGGAGCGGAACGCGGGTACGATGGCGAGGGCGCGCGCCGGGCGCTCGGAAGCTTGTGCATGTGCGGTGTTCCTGTCGCGCGGACCCTGCTGGAGCTGGAGCTGTCGATACGCATCCGTCGTGCGTGCATGCAGATGCAGTCGCGCGCGGCCCGCTCGCTTTACCTCGTTTTCGCTCGAAAGCGACGGGTCGCGTGCGCGCCCGCAGGGCCCCCGCCAGCCCGGGGTCGGGCCATGGCGGCATGATCCGGGGAACATGCGGCGTCGAGCCAACGGGGTGGTGGTGGTGGCAACTGGCAACGTAACTGCTCGCTCGCCCGCCCGCTAGCCCTATAGCAGATGCATGCGCGAGCGCGACGCGCGTGGCCTGTGGCGTGTGAGGGATCGGATGCCCGTGCGTGGCGTGGTGGCACCGCCGTTCCGTTTCCCGTCCGTCTGGGGAGAGGAGGAGCCGAGGAGGTGTCTGGTGCTGTGGGCGGCAACAGACAGATGCAGAGTTCAGATGTGGTAGGTTACCTACGTGTGGTAAGCAAGTTCAGGTACACTGTCCTTCAAGCAGTTCAGTTAGGGTACAGAATGGATGGCACGCAATGTGATTTGTCCTGCGAAAAGCAAAAACTAGCTAATTGACCACAGCATGGGCATGGCTGAATGATGCAATGCAAACACGTACTGTCGGTCGCGATATACAGCAGCACACAGGGGCAGACCGCCCGGGCCACACGACGACGACGCTAGCTAGCAGCCTAGCACGGGACAAAAGCAGACGTGCAGGCGCAGCCGAAACAGGGAGGGCCGCGCCCGGACTGCCATTGCCCAATGCCCCATTGGCCATTGCATAGCATGCGAGAAGGGAACAGGGACGTAGCCGTAGGCGGGGCGCACTGTGCATGCACGCAGGGGCCGCGGGGAACCCCGGCGGGCCCCGCCCTGGGCCCTGGCGCTGCAGCTGCAGCAGGGCACAGAGGTAGCCATTCTCAGGATCCGTCTAGTCACGCGACGGACGGCCGGCCGGCCAGCTCCATCGGCTCACACGTGCACAGAGACATGCACGTCGACCTGGCCTGCGCACGTAGTCGTAGGCTCGTAGCCGTCCCTGTCCTTTCACCTCAGCGGCCGGCCAGGATGCGTGGTCGAAGGATGGTATGGGTATGGACGCGCGGGCGCGGTCGCGGTCGCGGAGCGAGCGGAGCACCTGTCACACCCATGCCCAGCGCCCCAGCCTGCGCGCATGCATATGACGACGTCGACGCCTCGCCGAGCGAGGAAGGGGTCGCCCATATCCGTATTCCCTGCTCTGCTGCCCTGCTCTCCCAACAGTGGCCAGAGGCCCAGAGCGTCGTCCTCGCATTTCTTCTCGCTGCTGCTTGCCGCATTTTTTCAGCGTCTGCTCCGCTGCCCGGCCTCCCGATCTCTTTCAGCTTCCGAGGTCACGTACCAGTAGGCAATGGCCGTGGGCTTGCCCATGCCCATGCCTTCACGCAGTAAATTGCTAGCACCACCAGGTATCGATGTAGAAGCGGTAGGAGCTGCAGCAGGAGACTAGTTTAGGAAGGAGACATGTGCATGGCACCATACGATATGAACTCGTATCGTCGTCTGTGTGTGTGTCCTGCTGAACCCTGCATCTGCCGGTTACTTTCTCATGCAACATATCTGAATCTTAGGAGGGCCAACCTGTTTCGTTCAGGCTTTCAGGAGCACCATACCGCCATAAGAATCCGTGAGTGTGAATCAGTAGCAAATTCTTCACCGCTCGTTAATGAATTGAAATCACAGTTAATCGTCATATGTCACAGCCCACAGCGAATGGGATCGACCTGGATTTGAATTTGAAACAGTACAAGAGGCTGGAGACCTGTATGCAAACAGCAATTAAACAGGTGCACAGAGCAACGACTTTTCCGCTACAATGCTTTCTGATCTCGTGCCAGCGACGCTTGCCTGATGCCTGAGCCGATCGGTCGGTTTTCAGCATGACGTACGTGCCGAGAAGAGAGATGGATCATAGTTGGTTCCACCACCTAAAATTTACTCTCTGTCACACTGACTACAGTAAATATGTTTAACATTATTTAAAGTATTAAACATAGACTAATTATAAAACTAATTATACAGATTAAGACTAATTTGTGAGACAAATCTATTAAGTCTGATTAGTCTATGATATGATAATATGATGCTACAGTAAATATATGCTAATAATAGATTAATTAGGCTTAATAGATTC